TGTAGTTTCAAACATGTCAACTTCGTGGAGATTTACTCTTTGTATCTGTGTTTGTTTCAAACTGTTTTATAGCATAAAAAAAGGTATTATAGCATCTCATCTCAAAATATTATAATAAGATTATGCCAAACTTAAGTTCCCCCCCCACCAAGAATTCTTTATGCATTTAATGCGTTATAATAAATAAATTATTATTAAAAATAATTTAATAATTAAAAATACATTTAATTTTAATTTAAAAGGTATTTTAATTCAGAAATTAAAATCATGTTTATAAAAGCGTTGTTGATTTGTTTTTCAAAAAGGTATTATAGCATCTAATCTCAAAATATTATAAGATTATGCCAAACTAAGTTTTCCTCCCAATAATTATTTTAATGCGTTATGCCATAAATAATTAAAAATTTTTTATTTAATAATCATTCAAATACATTAAATGTTTTACATTTAAAATGTATTATAATTCAGAAATTAAAATCATGTTTATAAAAGTGTTGTTGATTTGTTTTTCAAAATATATTAATTTGACGAACAATGTACATCATGTCATTGACCCATCATAAGACAATCAGGTCTTGTTAGCTGTGGAACTTTTTGTCTCACCCGTCTTATGCCTTTTGGATACTAACGGAAGGCTTTTTGCGGATCTCCACCCTCGGACTCCTTCTGTCCTCTCATGCCCATCGGCTAATTTTGGTATCACAGTGTTCCCCACTGCATGAACTCCTCACTGCATGTGAATGCAATCAGTGTTGAACTAAGTGTGCGAATTTAGAGCGTTTAGCAATTACGAACAATGTACATCATGTCATTGACCCATCATAAGACAATCAGGTCTTGTTAGCTGTGGGACTTTTTTTCTCACCCGTCTTATGCCCTTTGGATACTAACGGAAGGCTTTTTGCGGATCTCCACCCTCGGACTCCTCCTGTCCTCTCATGCCCATCGGCTAATTTTGGTATCACAGTGTTCCCCACTGCATGAACTCCTCACTGCATGTGAATGCAATCAGTGTTGAACTAAGTGTGCGAATTTAGAGTGTTTAGCAATTGTAAGTGAGTTTAACATATTGATTCTGACATCCTGACCCATGCTAGGACAAACGCCAGTATTGTCTGGTGGGGACGGCACAGGTGATTGACACTTGATCATCTGACTGTTGATCTCCTGCTCATGGGCTGAGTGATTAACAAGCTCTGTAATTAACCAGACAGCCCAATGCAAACAAGCCTGAACAATTAACATAATGCTTCTTGTGAATGGTCATGGTGTACCCTGTTGAAAGACTTTACATAAATTTAGGTGTGTCTAGCTCTTTATGTGACCATGCAGACCAACGATATGGGATTCAGATCTCCATTGAACACTGCAGTTTTTTTAAACTGGTGTACAGTGGGAAGGAAAGGCATTGAAAGGCATGAGCTAAAACACTAACGTTTGGGGAAATGTGGAACATAAACATAGTTGTTCTCTCAGGCTGTTCATGCTCAGTCCAGCTGGACTCCAAAACATGTAAAAAAAAATTTAATACATAACCCTCAATGGAGACTTTTTGTTAGAAGATGGTAGGTTCTTTCAGTTCTCCATGGAGAAAACTCTTTTAAAACAGTAAGTCATGTGGCTGGAAAAAGTGAGTTGAGACAATACAGTCTTTCCACAAATATCAACCTCTCTTCATTGGTTCAGCAGCTGCATACAACACAACTGAAGAAATGTGATAGATGATAGAATCTCTGGATGAAATGGTTAAAATTCAAATAACAAGAATCAAACTATAGCAGTCATAGTTAAGAGACTCACTTCACTTCGATTTTTGACATCCTGAGCAAAGCTTCTTTCTGTATATAAACCAAGGCCAGTGTATTTAAAGCATCTCATATCATGCGTCCTTGGGTTATTGTGATCAATACTAATACTATTATAAATCTGCTCTATGAAATGTGATCTTTTTCTGCCACGCTTTGTGGATATAAGAATGATTGCTTGTTATGTAAGCAAACTCATCCTGCATCCTTAAAAACATATTGAAATGTCTCTTTGAGAAACTCACCAGTTTGTAAAACGTTTTCTTTTCTTTTAGAAGTGCTTTTGGGCAAATTTGGATGATGCAGCTCTACAAAACTTTCTGAAATGTGCTAATCCACTAAAACATCAGACAGTTTTCTTTTAAATGTGACGTGTGAAGGACTCTCGTCTTCCATTGGTTGGCAAATAGATAGCCCCGCCCCTAAACTCACATTATTGGCTGAGCCAATGTTGCTGTTATCCTACAAATATCTTATAGTTTCCTCTGCATGTTAAAGGGATAGTTCACCCAAAATGAAAATTTGATGTTTATCTGCTTACCCCCAGGGCATCCAAGATGTAGGTGACTTTGTTTCTTCAATAGAACACAAACAAAGATTTTAAACTCAAACCGTTGCAGTCTATCAGTCTTATAATGGCAGTCAATGGGCTCCACGACTTTGAGAGTAAAAAAAAACATACACAGACAAAACCAAATTAAACCCTGCGGCTCGTGATGATACATTGAGGCCTTAAGACATGAAACGATCGGTCTGCAAGAAACTGAACAGTATTTATATATTTTTTTACCTCTGATCCACCACAATGTCCAACTGTCCTGAGCGCGTTCACAACATCCGGCGCGTGACGTCAAATAAATATGGTTGGGCAAAAAATTCCACGTTGTCTGATGATATATCAAAATCATCTTCCATTGTGATGACCTGTACTTCTAAATGGCTTTAGATCATTGCAGTGCCAGTGAACAAGTCCACAATCTCTCTGCACTGTGTAAATAATGAGTGACGTATACGCGCGACAAATCGCTTCCGTACATGCTTCTACTATCATAGATATGTATAGATGCCCTATTCGACCGCTCCAGATATGTTGACGCGTACGCCATTTTGGAACGTATCGCGGTCCATAGAAACAGTCATTAATGAGGAATCTACTTGTATATATCTATGTCTACTATGCCAGAGCACGTACACACGTCACGCACCGGATGTTGTGAATGCGCTCAGACATTGCAGTGGATCAGAGGTAAAAAATTATATAAATACCTTTCAGTTTCTTGCACAGACTGATCGTTTCGTGTCTTAAGACCTCAATGTATCGTCACGAGCCGCAGGGTTTCATTTGGTTTTGTCGGTGTATTTTTTTTTTTTTTTACTCTCGAAGCCGTGGAGCCCATTGACTGCCATTATAAGACTGATAGACTGCAACGGTTTGAGTTAAAAATCTTCGTTTGTGTTCTACTTAAGAAACAAAGTCACCTACATCTTAGATGCCCTGGGGGTAAGCAGATAAACATCACATTTTCATTTTTGGGTGAACTATCCCTTTAAGCTGGTACAAGAGAAAGTATTTTCTAAAATCATCCCTTTAAGTTAAGGTAAGGGGTATTTGGATTGGTTTAGGTGTGTTTTTTTTCCACAGCGCAGCCCTATTTCACAGTCTTCTGTGGGTCAGAGTGGTATTTGTGGTCTAGTTTGACAATTAGCCAGTTCCACTGAACACAGAGGGCAGTGGAGCATGAGTCTGCATGAACTGTGTGTGCGTTTTATATGTGTCGTGTGTTTAAGCCTGTAACTGACAGCTGTTTTTCTGTGCCCTGTGGTTTAATCTCTTGGCAAGCTGACCATCATCTGCCCTGCTACAGAAAACCTGCTACTGCATAGGGAATTTAATGCTTAATAAAAAAAACAAAATCAATGATGATGTTGTGTTAGATCAGGGGTCTTTGTTCTTTTTAGGCCAATGACATTTTATCCTTGGTAAAAAGCAGAATTTTGTTTAAATGTGAAGTGTGGAAGACTCTCGTCTTCCATTGATTGGCAATCAGATAGCCCTGCCCCTAAACTTGCGTCATTGGCTTCTTCTGGTGAAGAAACTGATTTATATTATCTGCAATTTTAAGTTGCATTTATTTGTATATTTGATTTGAAAAGATAATTTAAGTTAATTTGAAGGCAATTTGTGAGAATTTGAGATTAAATGATAAAATCACTGTAAAAGTATTTTTACGTTTCAGTTGGCTATAAAAATACATTTTGTTCAAATTTGAATGAAAACAAGTAAATCTCTCCACATTTTGCATTATGAATGTGTGCATAATTTTTTATTTTTTTTGCTAATATTTGTTGCCTTTTTTATGAATTGCTCAAAAAAAGTAGTTTTTTTTTTTTTTTTCTGTCGATAGGAGTGGTCCTGTATGATCCGGCCACATTTCCTCAGGGGAAGTCTTTGGCTTCTTATTGTAATTCATGGACATGTCAATGGTTTTGACTACACAGCCAGCTGATAACATCTGGTTTTCACATGCTCCTTGACGCACATTGTTCTTCCCGTAGAACACACTCCAAAAAAAAAAAAGTCTTGAAACATGCTAATTTCTGTCGGCGAGGTTGTTCTGCTGTTTATGGCATGCTGCCTATCAAAATTTTGACTAGTGATTTCAGGATATTAACTTCAACTTGCCAGACTTCCTAACATCTGCGGATCCCGAATACATCCCAAAATTTCTGTAGTAACTCCTCGGCATTGTTTGTAGCCCACAGCAAGTTTCCTCACAAGATTTAACAGGGTCTGATAAAGAGAAGTCAATGTTAATGCAGTCTTTTATGTGTACAGAGGAACTTTTGTTCGTCTACAGACTTCATTGGGCTTTAGGGTGACCCTCAGTAGAGAATAGAAGTACTTGAGCGCTCTTTTGTAAAGCCAAGGGCATAAAAGAATGGGTTGTTTGAAGGAGCGCTTTCCTGATGAACGGATACAAACCAGAGGCTGTGTTGATGGCTAAAGGTCGTCTCTAAGGAAGCAGCTGTAGAGGGGAAACTCCTTCCAGAGCAGACGGTCACTCTGAAGGGTCAGGCTACTGATGCCCCCCGTGACTCTGTATCTTGCTGATATCCTGAATGTGATTTTTGTAGAATTATATGCATGTTGCAGTGATTTCTAATGCTCCTGTGCTCTCTGGTCTTTCCTCACAGATGAGATTATGCAGCAGGAGATCAGGCCGTTACTGGCGGTCGACATAATTGAACAACTTCACAGGCAGTTTGCTCTTCTTTCAGGTGAGAAATGAATATGTCTGTTTGCTCTTCAGGTTGAGATAAAAAGGCTTATTGCTTTTTTTTTAAAAGCTATTTACTTTCCTTCTCTGTAGCTATTGGTGATGCTTTTGAACTTTGACCCTTTCTTGTTTGTGAGAATGAATGTGGGTCAGGTTTCTGTGGTGGCGGTTAATGCTGGCGAATCACATTCACTCATGTCAGCACTGTTGTACAATTCCCAGTTTTCCATTTCCTCAGATGCTAATTAGCACGTAAAATAAGAGAAAATAGACTTCTGCTGTCTCATTTTCTCATGATGCGTATTATTTAATAATGAATCGAGAAATATCCAAGGGCACGTTGGTGAATCTCACTTTGTTTGTTTATGAACCCAGCATCCAAAATTAACTTTTAGTCACACTGACTTGAGAATTGAGAAAATATAACAGCCATAAATATTTCTTACAGGCCATGAATCTTAACTATTTATTCTCTTTTTCTTTTTCTTTTCTTTTTTACACCCTGTTTGAAACGGAAGCTTGTTTGTTTATCAGCTCAGGTCTTTAACCACTAGGCTATGCCACAGTCCTGCTTAATATGTCTCAAATGAAAATGAAACAATTAGGCAGCCACTCAAGATATAAACAACTGGTGACAAATTGAGATGAAATTTTGTTATTGACCAAATACTTATTTTCCACCATAATTTGCAAATAAATTCTTTAAAAATCCTACAATGTGATTTTCTGGATTTTTTTTTTCTCATTTTGTCTCTCATAGTTGAGGTATACCTATGATGAAAATTACAGGCCTCTCTCATCTTTTTAAGTGGGAGAACTTGCACAATTGGTGGCTGACTAAATACTTTTTTCCCCACTGTATATAATATAACTGACTCTATTTTTAGTTAATTTGATCAAGCCTTGGTCATGAAGTTGCCAGGTGGTACTGTAGGATAATTGACTATACAAAACAATTAATATTAACTAATAAAACAGCAGTGTTTACCACATTCAGTACAAGCAGAGCTCTCTGAAAACAGGGTGGAAAAACTTACACACTGAACTGATGTAAGTGGGAGGGACATCGCGACTACAGACTCGGTGCTCCTTGGAGAGCTATTCCATTCCTTCCCACCCCAGTCAGATCTCCTGAGGCCTGGCCTGCCTCCCTGTCTCCTCATCTGCCAAGACGCCTGCATCAGCCATCAAAACTGCACTAGCTACAGAGAAAAACAATCCCAGCATACTTTGTGCAATCTAATTAGCTGGCTCCTCAAGTGCTGCTTTCCGCTGAAAAGCTTGGTGTCGTCCATTAGGACTCTGTGAATCACAGGGGACGACCAGAAATTTAATAGAATAGACTTCAAATGTGTCTCGTTCACTAGCGAAGAAAAAAAGTAATCAGGTCAGAAGTCACGCATCAAACAATTGTCCTCTTTTCAAGCGAGACAAAGCCAGGAGGATGTGTTTGTGTGTATTTGCACTTGCATATATGTTTGCGCATGGCTAAATAGATAGATGGATTTTTTTCTTATTTATTTTTATTACATTGTAAAAGAACCAAAGACTTAAACTACTTCAGTCTGTGTGCATTGAATTTATTTAATACTCGAGTTTCACAATTTGAGTTGAATTACTGAAATAAATTAACTTTTCCACGACATTCTAATTTTTTGAGATGCACCTGTATATATGTATGTATGTGTGTGTACAGTCTTAAGTCGCTTGGGTATATTTTTAGCAATAGCCAAAAAAAACATTGTATGGGTCAAAATAATCGATTTTTCTTTTATGCCAAAAATCATTAGGATATTAAATAAAGATCATATTCCATGATGATATTTTGTAAATTTCCTACCGTGAATATATCAAAACTTAATTTTTGATTCGCAATATGCATTTTCTCAGTATTTCGATTTTTTTGCACCCTCAGATTCCAGATATTCAAATAGTTGTATTTCGGCCAAATATTGTCCTATCCTAACAAACCATACGTCAATGGAAAGCTTATTTATATATGATTATGTATAAATCTCAATTTAAAAAAATTGACCCTTATGACTGGTTTTGTGGTCCAGGGTCACATATATGACTATATAAAATGCATAAATATGAAATGTATGTTTTTTAAATATTTATTTAAATTTACTTGTATACATGTATGTACTGTATATTTATTTAGATTTCATTCATTTAAATATAAACATGCATTTACCAGATTATGATGATAATTTGTTTTTACCTCTGAAAATATATGGGATTTTTACATTTTCTGAAGATTGCTTCTTGCTTTGTCACAATGCTGAGGTGTTGTTGATGGCTGGCAGGGTCTCGTTATATGGTGACTAAGGTGTTCAGAGCAGTATAAGTATTATGCGGTTGCTAGGTATGGAATTGCTAAAAAAAAAAAAAATCCACCAGGAGTTGCTACAGGTTCTTTATATCTGGTTTTATAGGTGTCTAATATAAGCCATAATTTTCAAGAGAAGTCATTCAACCACAAGGTGGGTGACGTTTTTCCAGTGATGTTCCAAATAAGACTGTGGATGTGGGCTGGAGGGTTTTGTTGCTTGATTTGCATATTATAAATATAAATGGAAATTCCTTGTCTACACTTGGAAACTTTATTTCTTTACTGGTAAACTATTAAAAGAATAACCTAGACATCACCCAAGTGAAGAGTTGCGGCAAGTCTAAAAATGGATGGACATATGACCTCTGAGTGGATCTGCCTCATTACTGCAAACAAACACATCTTTCTTCAAATTGCCCTCAGGAATGAGCACAATAAGAAGAATCCCTGTTAAAGAGGCGATTACATATTCACACTGGAGAACAGTTTGCCAAAATTATTTGAATTATTTAAAAATTATACTATAATCCGTTATTAGAGGAATTCTAGAAATATGTCATTATTTAAAGACATTAGATTGTGTGATCTACAGCAGGGGTCTTAGGGGTATTTGATTTCAAACACATTTTACGGTAAAAATGTGACAGTATATGTTAAAAAATACCTAATATTAACTAAAGGTTTTCAATATGTCAGTGTCCCTTCCATATTAAATTGTATCAAGTAAAATTAAAATGTAATTGATCATATGGCTCAAAAATATAAACTGTAATTTTTTATTTAATGAATTTGCATAGTTAGCATCATAATGTAAATGTATGTGAGCATAAACATGTATTAATTCTGTATATGTAACAATATTTGTAAACCGTTTAATTTGATTATCTTAATTTTATTAACTTTTTGAGTCAGATTTTTTGTTAGCTAGCTAATGAACATTTTCAAATCAGTGCTGTATGTATAATACTCTATTGATGTGTCTGAACTCAATGGATGTCTCTGATTCCACTGTTGCCCCCTTGTGGTTGAAAGGAGTTCTAAAAAAAACAAAAAAACATAATACATTTAAATATAGTCAAATAAAACGTAGAAGGATGTGGTGAATACTTAAGAACCAATGATAATGTCAGAAGCATGTCCCATGAATGAATGAAACTCATGAAATGAAATGAAACTTCATTGTTTTTTGAAAATTAACTAACAAAAAAAACCCTGATGTAGGTCATAATGACTCGCACCTGCTTTCTACTGCATGCATCTTCACACAATGTGTGTAGTTTCCGTTTAGGTTTGATGGCACAGAAACCAGGGTTCGATTTGTGTCAAAGCTCTTGGGGGGGTCCCCCAAACCAGACCCCCCACCCCCCCACTTCAAAAATAAATAAATAAATGATAAATAAATAAATAAAAACTATACATCTCTCCACAAAAATCAACGTCATAGCAAACTTAGCACGTTTCTTTTAATCTCTTGACATATTTTTATTTTTGGGTTTGTTTAAATTAAACATGATTCCCCCCCCCCAGGTTTATACTGATAACGAGTTCAAACAGATACCATTAATACAGGTAACGTGTGGAGGACAGAGGAGCCTCTTAAATAAGAAGTTACAGGTCTGTGAGAGCCAGAAATCTTGCTTGTTTGTAGGTGACCAAATACTTATTTTACCGAGGAATTTACCAATTAATTCTTTAAAAATCCTACAATGTGATTTTCTGGATTTTTTTTCTCATTTTGTCTCTCATAGTTGAGGTATACCTATGATGAAAATTACAGGCCTCTCTCATCTTTTTAAGTGGGAGAACTTGCACAATTGGTGGCTGACTAAATACTTTTTTGCCCCACTGTATATATGTATATGAAATATAAATAATATTTTAAATTATTTTCAAACATTTGAAAGACTTAGAATAGGTTGCAAGTGTTTATATGGTTTCATGTGGTTTACATGTTTAATGTCAGAACTGTTAAATAAATAAATCAAATCTTTAGGTCATGGTTTTAATGTTCTCAAACCTGGTTTTTGCTGCATGTGACTTCACACAAGGTGTATAGTTTCAGTTTAGGTGCACACAGAGACTGCGCCAATCATGACACCTAATGAAATTGGAAATTAATAAATGCATAAATAAATATATATACACACACACACACACACAAAGTGTGTAAACAAAGTGCCGGAGTGCCATTTAACATGCTAAAACTTATTTTCCTCAGGTTTGATAACTATGAATTAACTAGACACTTAAGTCCATGACATTTTTGCAGGAGGAAGAGGAAAAGACGGATCTCCCATCATCACCTTCCCAGAGTTCTCAAGTTTTAATGAGGTGTCAGATGAGGATTTTGTTAATGTTGTCACATACCTGAGCAGCATACCAAGGTGAAACCTCATTTATTTTTGAAAGGTTTATTTTCATTGGTAAAGATTTTCAAAATATGTAGTGAAACCAACTGTAAGAACAAGCAGTTCTCTGTTTGATTACTGTCTGATGGTTTTGATTTCAATGCCCAACCTGTCTGTTTCTGTCCTTCATCCTTCAGCATGGATGCCGCTAGCATTGGCTTCATCATCATCCTGGACCGCAGGAAGGACAAATGGAACTCAGCAATCACTTCTCTGACACGGATAGCGGTTTGTACAAGCTCTTGCTGAAGCTTTGTGAAGTTAAAACAGCACTTTAACATGACGTTTACAGATCTCAATGCAGTTCCGAGCAAAAAGAACATGCTGCACAGTATCAAGATATACAATAGATAGGCCTATCAACTGAAATCGAACAAGCTGGGTACACACACACGTTCTTTTACAAATTATAAGCATAAAAATATATTTGTATTTGCTTCAATGACAGCAACACTTGAACTTTATTTTTAAAATACCTTTGTGTATTCAAGTTTTAAATACTCATTTTTTTTAATCTTACAGTAAGTTTTATATTCAACAAGAGTGTTATTGCAACAGTAATATTTCTTTAGTGATTTCATTTTTACAATTTAATAAAATAAAAATTATATTTTGAATAATAATTAATGTAATGATAATAGGTCATATTATTCTAAATATTCTTCTTATTTTCTTAAATTGTAAAAAATGTAATCACTAAAGAATTTGAATACATATAAACATTATTACGTCACATTCTATTTTAAACAAATGTAATTTAATTTTAAAATGTAATATACTCTATTAAAAAAAAAAAAACTGCCAGTGAAACAATGAATTAAACTAAACTTTTAATAAATTAAAATTTTAGAGTAGAAAGACTGAAATATTATCTACTTGTAAAACATACTTCAAAAACCTTTGTTTTATTTACCACTTAAAAAGTATTTTTGCTTGTATATAATATATATATATATATATATATATAATACCTATTATTACAACTTTATAAATGTTATATTATACCTTTATAAATATAAATGAACAAAGGTATATATAGTTAATGCCTCAGAATTGTCAAAAAAAGTGTCACATTTTTGTTTACTTGTTTCATTTTCTTTCATGACACCAAAGGGCTCCTTTCCAGGAAATCTGCAGCTTGTTCTGGTTCTGAAACCTTCACGTCTCCTCCAGAGGGCCATCGCTGATTTCAGTATGAGGTTACATAGGGATGACTTCAAATTGAAGGTACCGGTAAGCATGCTTCTGTCTGTCTGGACCCTCAGCACGTCCGTTCATTCGCCATATGATGTGCATGGCTTGTCTGGAGTGTTTGTAACATGATCACTCATTCACTAAATTATTGACAGAGCCGGTCACCCTGTTGTATTATGCATGTCTGAAAGGGTGTTAACCTACAGATTGTATGCAGATAATCTCTAACCCTGTTTTCACACCACTTTAGAAGATACAGGGGACATTGTTACAAAAACACAGGTTCTTGCACTGTGCCTTATCACTGCTTGTAATGTGTGAAATTCAGTCAATGCAACTTTCTCACACATTCATGTGTCTACAGCTGTTGCATATGCTGGTGCATGAGATTATCATCTGCATGCTACATCTTTTCTGATGTTAAGGAAATTAAGTTTGTGCTGCAGTGCACATACAAGTGCATCCGGAAAGTATTCACAGCGCTTCACTTTTTCCACATTTTGTTATGTTACAGACTTAAAATGGATTAAATTAATTATTTTCCTCAATTCTACAAACAATAACCCATGATGACAACGTGAAAGAAGTTTCCTTAATCTTTGCAAATTTATAAAACATCCGGAAAGTATTCACAGCGCTTCACTTTTTCCACATTTTGTTATGTTACAGACTTAAAATTGATTAAATTAATTATTTTCCTCAATTCTACAAACAATAACGTGAAAGAAGTTTCCTTAATCTTTGCAAATTTATAAAAAAATCACATGTGCATAAGTATTGCTCAATACTATTCACAAGCGCCTTTGGCACCAATTACAGCCTCAAGTCTTTTTGAGTATGATGCTACAAGCTTGGCACACCTATTTTTGGGCACACCTATTTTGTTTCTCTCATTCTTCTTTGCGGGACCTCTTAAGCTCCATCAGGTTGTATGGGGAGCATCGGTGCACAACTATTTTCAGATCTCTCCAGAGATGTTCAATCGGTTTCAAGTCTGGGCTCTGGCTGGGCCACTCAAGGACATCTTGGTTGCGTGCTTAAGGTCATTGTCCTGTTGGAAGATGAACCTTCGCCCCAGTCTGAGGACCAGAGCGCTCTGGAGCAGGTTTTCATCAAGAATGTCTCCTTTGGCACCAATTACAGCCTCAAGTCTTTTTGAGTATGATGCTACAAGCTTGGCACACCTATTTTTGGGCACACCTATTTTGTTTCTCTCATTCTTCTTTGCGGGACCTCTTAAGCTCCATCAGGTTGTATGGGGAGCATCGGTGCACAACTATTTTCAGATCTCTCCAGAGATGTTCAATCGGTTTCAAGTCTGGGCTCTGGCTGGGCCACTCAAGGACATCTTGGTTGCGTGCTTAAGGTCATTGTCCTGTTGGAAGATGAACCTTCGCCCCAGTCTGAGGACCAGAGCGCTCTGGAGCAGGTTTTCATCAAGGATGTCTCTGTACATTGCTGCATTCAGCTTTCCCTCGATCCTGACTAGTCTCCCAGTTCCTGCTGCTGAAAAACATACCCTTAGCATGATGCCTTCTGGAAGGTTCTCCTCTCTCCACAGAGAAACGCTGAAGCTCTGTCAGAGTGACCATTGGGTTCTTGGTCACTTCCCTGACTAAGGCCCTTCTCCCCCGATCGCTCAGTTTGGCCGGGCAGCCCGCTCTAGGAAGAGTCCCGGTGGTTCCAAACGTCTTCCATTTACGGACGATGGAGGCCACTGTGCTCATTGGGACCTTCAATGCTGAAATCTTTGCAAATTTATTGATTCAATCGATACAATCCTGTCTCGGCGGTCTACAGACAATTCCTTGGACTTCATGGCTAGGTTTGTGCTCCGACATGCCCTGTTAACTGTGGGACCTTATATAGATAGTTGCGTGCCTTTCCAAATCATGTCCGATCAACTGAATTTACCACAGGTGGACTCCAAACAAGTTGTAGAAACTTGGAAACAGGATGCACCTGAGCTCAATTTTGAGTGTCATGGCAAAGGCTGTGAATACTTATTACATCTGATTTTTTTTCGTTTTTTATTTTTTTATAAATTTGCAAAGATTTCAAACAAACTTCTTTCACGTTGTCATTATTGGGTATTGTTTGTAGAATTTTGAGGAAAATAATGAATTGGCTGAAACATAACATGAAAAAATTTGAAAAAAGTGAAGCGCTTTCAGGATGCACGTGTACTTATTTCACAAAATGTCATCTGCAGATGAGTTAATTAGTCATAAAAATCAGTGGGGCATTTACAATGGAAATTAATGGGGTCAATCTGTAAACATTAAAATACTCATTGTTTTAATAGTACAGCCGTGAACAGTATGAGTGAATTTAGTGTGATGACATGATTTTAGTGTAAACAATTGTTTACTAAGCTATTGTGTGTAAAGTTATATCCAATTTTATAACTTTGTTGCCATTGCAATGTAACACCATCAACTCTAAAATCTTAAAAAGTGTGTAAAAACAAGGATTTCAACTGTTTTACAGCTCTAATTATACAAAAGCAATCAGAAGAATAAATGGAAATGCTTTTATAAAATTATAAGCCTCACGTGTATGCTTTTAAATCCTCTAAAAATGGGCCCCTTTTATTTTTATTGCAAGTGACTCATTATAACCTCAGTTTTTTTTTCATTCAAAGGAAATGAGTGATGAGTCAAAACAACCACAAATGCTATTGACTGAGCTTGTCAAACCCAGAATATTCTTTTACCATTTCTCACAACAGTTTTTACTATATATGTCCTGTAAAATGTTTGCATGCATATTTTAAGGAACTCAAAGTTATGACGTTTGCTACTACAGTTTATAAAAAGGCTAAAGTTCCTATGAAAGTCATTGTATGGGTGGTCTGACGTTGTCAGACCACCCATACAACTGAACCATTAAAGGGTTAGTTCACCCAAAAATGAAAATTCTGTCATTAATTACTTGCCCTCGTGTTGTTCCAAACCCGTAAAACCTTTGTTCATCTTTGGAACACAATTTAAGATATTTTTGATGAAATCTGAGGGCTCTCTGACCCTCCCATATACAGCAAGGTAACTACCATGTTCAAGGTCCAGAAAAGTACCAAGCGCCGCCACACGCTCGCGTCATGATACTGTCCTGAACACGTGTCCACAAGTGACGCAGTAGAGATGAAAATGGGGAATAAAGTCGTTATTTTTGTTTTCTTTGCGCAAATAAGTATTCTCAAAGCTTCGTAACTTTACAGTTGAACCACTGATGTCACATGGACTACTTTGTCGATCATCTTGGTACTTTTCTGGACCTTGAACATGATGGTTAACCTTGCTGTCTATGGGAGAGTCAGAGAGCCCTCAGATTTCATAAAAAATATCTTAAATTGTGTTCCGAAGATGAACGAAGATCTTACGGGTTTCGAACAACATGAGGGTGAGTAATTAATGACAGAATTTTCATTTTTGGGTGAACTAACCCTTTAATAGCAGCAACTGCGTTCTTTAAATGTGACATTGTGGTAAAGTAGGACAAACATTTAGTTTCTGTACCCTAAAATATGCTTAATATATAGGCTATTATGGGTAATTCCTTGTTCTTTTCTCTTCTCTTGTAGGTTGTTATGCTAAATTCCCTGTCAGACTTGCATGGCTATATTGACAAAGGCCAGCTGACCTGTGACCTGGGGGGGACCCTGGACTATTGCCACAGTCAATGGATTCACCATCGCACAGTAAGAAAGTTGTTTTTTAATAAATCAAGCCCTAATTTAAAAACAGAAGATATATATATATATAGTGGTGTGAAAAAGTGTTGGCCCCCTTCCTGATTTCTTATTTTTTGCATGTTTGTCACACTTTAATGTTTCAGATCATCAAACAAATTTAAATATTAGTCAAAGATAACACAAGTAAACACAACATGAAAGTAATTGAGGTCTATCAGTCTGGAAAAGGTTATAAAGCCATTTCTAAAGCTTTGGGACTCCAGCGAACCACAGTGAGAGCCATTATTCACAAATGGCAAAAACATGGAACAGTGGAGAACCTTCCCAGGAGTGGCCGGCCGACCAAAATTACCCCAAGAGCACAGCGACGACTCATCCAAGAGGTCACAAAAGACCCCACAACAACATCCAAAGAACTGCAGGCCTCACTTGCCTCAGTTAAGGTCAGTGTTCATGACTCCACCATAAGAAAGAGACTGGGCAAAAACGGTCTGCATGGCAGAGTTCCAAGACGAAAACCGCTGCTGAGCAAAAAGAACATAAAGGCTCGTCTCAGTTTTGCCAGAAAACATCTGGCAAATATAAAATGAATAGTTCCGGTCCTTGATTCCGGCTGAGCCACGTTCGAAGCTACATACACCTTTGTTTACGTTTGTCTGTTGCTTGGCAACCACTTTGTTGCAACCACAACTAATTCTGAGGAACTACCACTGATCTATAATAGAGAACATTGTATATAGACCAGTGGGAACTACATTGTTTGGTGGAAGAATACTGTTTTTATTGATATCATTACACTTCATTTGCTCTGTTTTATTTTGTGAAACCTTACTACGTATATGGAATAACCGTTTTATAAAAGCAATAAACCCCGTGAAGCCGTGGTTTACAGTGAATTTATAACAGCTAAGGGGGTTTTAGGCACCCTGCTTCGCGTCATGCCTAACAACGCCCCTTAGCTGTTATAAATTCACTGTAAACCACAGCTTCTTGGGGCTTATTGCTTTAATATAATTTAAAGTGTAAGTGTTTTATGTAAAAGACACAAAAACATAAATGTACTGTATGCACAGTGCAAAATAAATAGGCTCAGTTTTGTCTAAGCAAGATATGTAACCTTTTGACTGCTCCCATTTATATGATCTATTCAGACTGTGTTAAAATGTTGTGTCCTAGGCCATTGAGAACTTTGCGTTAACAGTGAAGAGCACAGCACAGATGCTGCAGCAGTTTGGAACTGACCTAGCAGAAACTGAACTTCCCAATGACGTGCAGTGCACCAAAGACTTGCTCATCACACACACCGAAAAACACGATAAGCTCAAGGTAGCTCATATTTTATTCTTTTATGAAACAGTAGTTCATGTTGGTTGTAATTTTGTCATAAGATTTGTTTAATCCATGTTATTATAATTAATATATATATATAACACACAATTATTAATATTTTTATAGTTTTATAGTTATTATATATATATATATATATATATATATATATATATATATATATATATATATATATATATATATATATATATGTGTGGAATTAGTCAGTTATCTTTTATCAGTTCCGTGACCTTGGGAACCGTTTCTAACATTGTGTGGAACAACAAAACATGACCTGTATTTATCATGATTTACTATATTTTGCATATGCAAATTCTTTCAGCATTCATATGCCACGTTTCCATCTCTCTGCACAGGACGAGCTAAAATTGGCTATAAAGCAAGGAAATACTCTATTGTCTTGTATCAAAGACCAGGCCAGCAAAACCGAGAGCCACATTTTGAACCCGGATGAGGTAGAGAACCAAACAACCGTTGAGAGGTGTGTCAAAATATTTTGCCGAACAAAGAAAGTTACACCATTAATTATGATACTCTAGCTTAAGTAGAATCCCAGCTTACAAAAGAACGTTGGTAATGTGAATGTTCCATTTGATTATTTTGCAAACATTATCGGAATGTTACGTTTGAATATTATCTGAACATTTGGAAATAAACTGTAACATAAGAATGTGAGATGAATGTCAGGCTAAAAAGTTTATGAAAACAAAAAACACTGCATGGTCGACATATAAAAATTGTTTTTGTTAGTGTTGTCAAATGATTAATCGCGATTAATCACATCCAAAATAAAAGTTATTGTTTACAAAATATGTGTGTACTGTGTATATTTATGATGTATATATAAATACACAAACATACATGTGTATATATATATATTGTTTATATTCATATATAATTTATATTATATATAAATATTAATATTTTATATGAACAAAACATATTTTTCTTAAATATATACATGCATGTGTGTGTGTATCTATACATGCATAATAAATATGCACAGTATACACACATATTATTTAAACAAAATATTTTATTTTGGATGCGATTAATCACGATTAATCATTTGACAGCACTAGTTTTTGTGCTAACGTTTTGTGAACATTATTAAAGACAAGACCAGCTAGCAAAAAATACTTCTTTTTTTTTTTTTTTTAGCAAAAAATAATTTTGCTAACATTTCCATTCAGTTATGAAAATATTATTTCTGAATGTTTTCTGAACATTAAAAACATCGATTTTCAAAGGCATTTCTTCTTGGTTATGCGAAAGTTAAGGGAACATTCCATTTGATCATTTTGCAAACATTATGGAGACGTTACTTTTGAATGTTCTCTAAATAGTAATATTTAAAAATGCCAGACAAATGTCTAACTAATACATTTCAGAAAAAACAAGTTAATAATGTTTTAACATCTTGAGAACAGACGAACATTCTATTTATTCTATTAATTCTATATTATATTCTATATTCTATTACAATCTATTAATGTTACTGTGAGAACGTTTGTTCATAACTTTGGGAGGATCTTGCCAGAAGTTCTATTTTTTTTAATGCGGTAAAACATTTCTGAGTGGCTACGTGATATTCGGAATATGACATACGTGAGCAAAACAGAATATTGACTTTGTAGGAGATTTTAACCATCAGGAAACCATCAGGAACGTCAGCCAAAAAAGAAAGTCACAGAACAAGTTACATTCTGATGAAAGATTGTGAGCACCATTGAACCATGAACCATTCACAATAGGAACATGAACATTAATAAGTATTTTTAGATTTCATTTTGAATTTTGTTACAGTTGTGTTATTATTCTTTAAAGCCTGGTGTCATCTCATGTTCCTCTGTGAAATCTAATTCACTTCAGCTCCTCTGACATGCACACTGTAAAAGCGTTTGTTTGTCTCAGGTTGTTAGCACAGCTCGATGAGACGGAGAATGCGTTTGAACAGTTCTGGTCGAGGCATCACCTCAAATTAGAGCAGTGCTTACAGTTACGGCACTTTGAGCAGGACTTCAGAGAGGTACGGTGCAGTGGATGTGCTCAAATGAAGTCTCTGTAAACTTAGTAGGCAGCCATTATACCAAATATCCCTGTAGCGGTTGTCTAGTCAACCAAGCTGAACTTGGTCTGTTTTGTCCATTGCATCAGGTGAAAGTTTCTCTGGATGGCCTGACCGAGACCTTGCTGGGTCTCTCAGACACCGGGGACTGTGTGGCTCGGGTGGAACATCTACTGGGCGATATGAAAACCTTGGAGGACAAAGCTCAGGTCAAAATCGTTTGAATCTAAAACCAGGCCTGGTATGCAAAGCAGTTATTACAGCATACAGGGCTCAACAATGAGCATTTGTTCTGCTGACTGGTTTAAACCAGTAGTTTAGATTTTTACTTTCCGCAGTCACTGTATAAATCCCCCCAATCACTGTCCAAATACATATTCATATAATTGAATATATATATATATATATATATATATCCTATACACTACCGGGCAAATTAATAGTTAAAATACGTAAATTAAAAATTAAATGTTTTTGAACAAAGGCTGCAAATTTTACAGTCAAAACGTTAATGTTGTGAAATATTATTAGAATTTAAAATAGCTGTTTACTATTTTAATATGTTTTAATATATAATTTAGTTCTGTGATGGCAAAGCTGAATTTTCAGCAGCTATTACTGCAGTCTTCAGTGTCACATGATCCTTCAGAAAACTAATATGCTGATTTGGTGCTTAATGTTTTGTTGTGCTGCTTAATATTTGTATGTGAACATGATACACTACATAACAAAGTTTGGGGTAAGTAATAAAAAAAGAAAAGAAAGAAGAACACTTTTATTCAGCAGGGACACATTCAATTTATTAAAAGTGACAGTAAATACATTTATAATGTGTGTGTATATATATATATATATATATATATATATATATATAGACAGTTGTTTCTTTTGTTTAGACATTTAAATTAGCATAGTTTGCCACGGCAGTGTTTGCAAGGAATAAAACCACAAGTATACCTTGAAAGGATCTGCAGTACTGGTTGCCAGTGCATGTTTTCATGCTGATCCTTAGCATAGAATGCTGTTTTTTAGATTTTTATCTTAACTCTATTAATCAGCCAGCTTATCTAGAAAGACACTGCATATTTTTTTTTTCTTGGCCTTTTTCAGAAGGCCAAGAATGCGCAGATATTGTGTGAAAGCATGCGGTAAATCAAACTGAACTTCAAGAACGAATAAAAGACACAACCATAGTGTTGCTGCTGTTGTGACACTGCAAGTCAATTACTAATGATAGTCAAGATAGCAGTGTAAATCATTCATAATGTATTGAGCTTTACTGTGTTTTTCGATCTGTACAGGAGTCCTTGGAGAAAGCTCAGCTTCACGCTCAGCATGGTGACCAGCTCATTCAAAGTAACCACTACGCCGTGGACTCCATTCGGCCGAAGTGTGTCGAACTGCGTCGGATCTGTGATGACTTCAGCAATGAGGCCAATAAGAAACGTGACATTCTGACCAAATCACTTGAAATCCACAAACGCATCGATGAGGTCCGTGAAACAACTAGCATCCTACTAAATTACCACACGGTCACCTTAACATTGAGTTTTTATCTTTGGATGATTGACTCCAGGACATGACAAAGGGGTGATTTTGAGAGATGACATTGCCAGAAGACAAATACATTTACAAAAGTGTAAAAACCCTAAGAATAGATGCATTATGAATCTTGAATTAAGTTAAAAAAAAATTTTTTTTTTTTTTTTTTTACCATTTTAGAAAATGTAGTTTAATTTAAAAGTAAAACAAGAAAAAAGTTAATGAAAATTTAACTAAAGAAGTGTACCAGTTTGCTTATGTATATAGTAATTTCACTCGGCGGCCATCTTTGAAACGCCTCTCAGGCATGCAAGTGCAGCTCCTATATCTTTGAATGGGGAAACATCAAATTCTACAAAACTGTTCACCAAGTTTACGATTAAATTTCATATTTGAAATCACCAATGAAATCTGACAACAACTGTCTCGTAAATGTTGTTTCTTTCACTCCAATAATGTTAAAAAAGCTCATTTTTAAGTGCACGTCTCTGAATGCTGACTGTTTCTATAGCAACCGAACCGTGTTTACCGATTGGCTCTTTTATTCAGAAGGCGGGGCTTCCTTCGATAGAGCCGCCAAATTGAGCGTTGCCTTTTTTCCCATTCAAAACTATACGAGTGACACGTTTTGGGTATTCTATAGTCTTTCATATAGTATTTTATTTATATACTATTATAGTATCTATTAATATTCTGACTTAGCTTATTTGAATATTTTCAGTTTTCATGTTAATTTAAGCTTTAATAATTGTATGTGCTTTTTTCACTTGTTTTGTCATTTTTTAAATATTTTTATTTCAGTTTTAGTGGTTTTAGTACTTACATTTCAACTTATCTCAGTTAGTTGCCAAGGCAACTAGTATTTCTAATATTTGTTTATGTTTTTTTTTAAGTTTAATCTGATATTTATATTTTATTTTTCTCATCGGTTTTCATTAACGAAAACTGTTTTATTTTAGTTTTACACAGTTAAAAAAATATATAAAAAAAAAAAAAAAAGAAAGAAAAGAAAAGAAAACCAAAGATTACTAAAGTATGTTTTACAAGAAAATGCTATTTCCATTTTCCACTTTAAAATTTCATGTTTCATTCAGTAATTGTTTAAGAAATGTACTATCAATTTCTGAATAAAAACGGTTTCTACAGCAATATTTTTTTCAGTGTAGATAATTAAAACACCATGTGTCGGTGACTTAAATTAGATCCGTTTGCATAATAAATAAGAATTATTACAGCAGCTTCCTGATTACTTTTTTAAGGGTTATAATATTACCAAGTTAAATAACCTGCACTGTTCACCTTTCTAGTTTTAAATTGGGTCCAGGACAAAGAGATGCATTGATGTGCCTCTGTGTTTGTGTGTTGGCAGGTGAACCAGTGGTGTGAGAGTGGAGTTTATCTGTTGGCCTCTCAGGCTGTAGACAGATGCCAGACCCAGGAAGGTGCAGAAGCAGCGCTGCAGGACATCGAGGGGTACATGAACACAGCCAAAGAGCAGCAGCTCAGTCACCTCAAAGACCTCAGCAACCAGCATGAGATCGTCCTCTCAGAGCTGGTCAAGGTACAAATGAAGCTGATTACAACTGAATACATTTGCATACAGTCAAATCCAAAAGTCTATTTTTATTAATTAATAAAACTAAATCAAAACTTTTATATGATATGATATTATATTACTAACAATAACTAACAAAGAACAGGTGTATTTTTATTAGCTAACATTAATAAAGATTCATAAATGCTGTAACAAATGTATTGCTAATTGTTAATTAATTTGAGTTAATGCATTAACTACGGATGTTTATTGTGGGGTGTTACCAAATTGTTTTGTTAAAAATATTATAAATTACATGATTATTATTATTAAAGAAAATAGTAAATTATATTCAAATGAACTGAAATTATTCAATTATTGACCTAGAAATAGTACTGAATATTAAATATTTTAAATTTATTTCAAATTTGGTTTGAATTTTTGGAGACTTTTGGAGCCCACTATAGTTGTAATGATACCGGTCATCTGTTTCTGATGAATAACTGATATTTTATTTAAAGAAATAAAGCCAGTATTGCATTTTTCTCTAATCTTCGTACTTCCACTTTAATATCTTCCCATGCAGATCAAAGCTCAAACTGCTCTGAAAAGGCTGGATGACGTTCAAAAGATGTTTGAGAAAAGACACGCGAGTCTGAAAAAGCTGTCTGCAAAGCAAACAAGGCCAGTGCAACCTGTTGCACCTCGACCAGAATCTTCACCAAAACGCCCTTCACCTAAAATCCCACAACCCACTGCACCTAGTGAGTTTAAAAGAAACCATGTATGTTGACTGAAGTGCATGCATATCCAGACTGCTTATCACTCAATGTTCTTTCCCAGAAGCATGTCCTCATTTCAGGTTATTGAGCTGACAATTAAATACTCTCATTGGGCTTCCAGTTCTCATATTTATGCAAATATACTGATGTCTCTGACAGGAAAACATTAATGTTAGGCTTTGTATCCTGAATTATGCATTATTGCATTACAGCATCAAATCGCAAAGCTATAGAAAACTACAGCGCCAGTAAGCAGCCCAGTGACGCAGAGTTGGCAAAAAGGAAAAATATTCGCAAAGCCAAAGGTGGCATCAAGGTATATCAGTCTCCATCAGTTGCATCTGAAATAAATGAAAGATTTTTTAAACATTCTAAAACGCATTTAAAAACTTAGTTAGTCTGGGATTAGTTCTTGCCTTTAAAAATAATTTCAAATAGTTTACTGTATCATTATTACACATTATACATTCGGCTCATACATAAAGCTGTTTTTCTTTCAACTGAATCCTGATCCACAGATCGAAGTCATGCATGAAGGAGGGCAAGGGGGTTCGAGTCATGTTCTCATGAGCAATGAAACAGAAGAGTCGCTTTCAAACAGACGCAGGTAAGAACAAGTCTTCTGAGAAAGAGCGTCTTACACAACACAAGATTTTCTGGTAAAATCACGGTAAGGTCAAGTATCTTAAGCACTTGAATTGATTTTTACAGGGATTTAATATTATAGCTAAATTTAAATGTGTCATCAACTTGCATGGCTTTTTTATTGATTCATATTCAATAGTAGTGCTGGGCGGTATGACCAAAAATGTATATCACGGTATTTTTCAAAATTATACTGGTTTCGCGGTACATTTTTTTTCATGCATGACCGGGTGTTAACCAATTTTTTCTACTGATTGAGAGAGGAAATACTGCAGTATATTGAATTAGAATGCCCTATTTTACTGTCATGATGAGTGAATATTGTCAAAAAATACCACACTAAATAGTGACTAAACACCCTCATTTATAATCGCGGCATCGTCTGATAAAATCAACATGCATCTACTACACCAGTGGTTCTCAACCCGCGGCCCGTCACGAATTCAAATGCGGCCCACCGTGCTGAACACAATGAAAAAATAACTTTCAGTTTTACAATTCGTTTTAGCTTTTACATTAATTTAAAAATGTACTAAACAAATATAAGCTATAATGTTTTTATGTAAAATTATTTTGTCAGACCTTGCGTTCGCGGGACAGCACTGGCGAAATCTTCCAACTGAACCATAGCTAAGGTTTATCCAAAAAAGTCGCTAGGTTTGTCAGTATGAATATTCTATGGAAAAAAAGCCACTAAAAGGGTCTAAAAGTTGCTCAATCTAGTGCTAAAGTCGCGCTCGTGTGTGTGAGACACGGGAGCTGATGGCAGGGGGCGGTGGATATTTGTGGCGGTCAATGTGGATATTGTGGATGAGATCTTCTGTGTCATCACGTTCTATTAGTTCTACAGCTTCAGAACTTTCACGCTTAGTAACACATACAGCTGTTCCCTCACCACAGTGCACCAGTGAAAAGGGACCCTTTCAAACAGTGTCGCGTTCCAAACGTTGTTTAAGCGATATACACCGGTATTGCGGTATTTTAAAAATTCATATCATAACAAAAATAAACACCGGTATTCGGTATGAACCGGT